GGTGAATTCCCCGAAACACTGAATATTGAGCAGGGAGTGGTGCTTTCTTGCAGGTTTGCCGAGTGGACGGTTCGATGGACTTCTCGTGTGCTCTGGATGGCAGTCGTGAGTGAGTCAAGTGAGAATTCAAGTCGGCAGGAAAACCGCGAGCTCCCATGTAGGGAGCAACACATTCTTACCCAGATTTCTGTCACGAAATACAGACATTGGCCTTATTTATCACTGTTACTTTGATCATCGTAGTATAAGACTTAGTATAAGACTGTTTTGGGTGAATTACCGGTACTGGTGTCTAATGGGTGGCTGATACTCCGGAAAAATACGGTGCGCGTACAGACAAAACTCCTTACCGGGCAGACCAGATTCACCGCCCAATCCGACTTTCTTCTGATGCTTGGTCACAGAGAACTGATTGGTAGCCAGGACCTGCCAGAACAGAAACCAGCCAGTGAGCATATTTACACAATCATCATATCACTAGATGTGAACACACACATGCACGCCCGTACGCGCGCGCACGCACACACGCGCACACACACACACGCACACACAGCACACAGCACACCCACACACAAACCTACACCATAAGCATGAGCATATCTTACTAAAACAGATTGCTGAAGATCAACTAGTGAATGCTGAAGATCAGTTTAACCCTTTATGTACTGATTTCCAGCGCAGAATGAAGCAGAATTTGAATTTTCAGCACAATTTTCACCTTCAACAGGCTATAACTTTGGCCTCCTTCGCTCCATTTCCACAATCTTGGGCTCTTTGGAAAGCTCCTGGCGAGAGCAACGCCAGCATACCAGGCTCCATCAACTAGCTGCCACAAATCAGGCGCAATAACACATCAAAGTCGTCTCCCAGCCCAATATGCGAGCAAATTTCCCCATCAACGCCATTCCACTCTCCTCTATCGCAGAACGCTCAAATCTTTTCGAGGCGATTCAAACTTCAGCCAACTACGTCATTATCATGTGTTGAGTTGGTCAAAGAGCACACGAAAAGGGATTTTCCCCTAAAATGGCGAAGAGATCGATAAAAAATTTGAATTTGCTGAGACAAGAATACGGCACGCGATATCTCTGGATTCGTACATCGTAGCTCTTCGGCGATTGTTGCATTGGAAAGCTTAGAGTTTCCGCTACCGAATAGACCCTTCGATTGTTGAATTCGGGCAAGAAATGATGGAGTTACGAAGGTTTTACGGATCGATCATGAATCGATCATATGTGATCGATTCGTGTACACACCGTACATAAAGGGTTAAAAGCAGACTGAGATCTGGAGAGTCCATACCACGTGCATAATGATTTAAAATTCACGGAAAGCAGCATAGTGGAATACAAGGTGGCCACTGACCTCGCCAGAGAGACGGTGATAGGAGGTCGGTACCACCTTCACAAAGTACTGGAACATGATAGCATCCACTGCAAGGCACAGAGTAAATCAAGCAAAGGCAGTGAGAACACCCACCCACACACATCACACCCGCACACACACTCAACCTCCCCCAGCCCCCACACGCCCGCAAGCCCACGTGCGTGCACCCCCCCCCCCCCCCACACCCATCATCGCACCCACCCGCACGCGTACGCATCCAAAAAGTGGAAAAGAGCTAAGTCTAGTACCTCACCACACCAAACTCACATTCTTCAAGCTCCACTTTGTGCCCATCCAACGGGTTCACCAGGCCAGGGAACTCCGTGCCAAACGACAACCGATCGATGGAGTGCGACAAGTTGAACTGGGCAATGCGGGCAAGAAAACCAACAGGACAGATGGTCAAACACAAATACACATCACACAACTCCGGAGAGTGAAGACAAATTGGAGTCTCCAGTTGGGGAGCAGGTTATTAATCGCACAGCAACATCAGCAAGGCACACATGGTACAAGAACAAATGCAATGGTTTGTTTCACAAACTTGAAAGAGCTAAAGAAGGACAATTCATCCCATTGTAGATCTTTCCTTTTCGCCATTAGCCAACATGTGATCTAGAATCCTTTGTCCTCAGTAGCCAGCATGTGGCCCCGTGTAGTTTAGAATCCGTTTGCCACTAGCCAAGTGTGGCTGTGTAGTCTTAGAGTACTGAGAGCACACAGTGTCAGCTACAGCCTACTTAGAATACACATCGTATTTTACCGACTAAACAAGTCCCACTGGATTACAAGTGGCATCCCCATTTTTCAGGTTCCAGTCATAGTAAAGAAGTCGGTTGCTCTCACACTGGTCGGCGGGAAAAGCATGAGCTCCAGTATGGGAGCAACTAACTGCCTTATAAAATCATTTTCAAGGTCGCTACCACTATTTTCCTGCCATAGTGTACAAATAAATTCACTTCAGCAGTAAGCCGTGGTCGATTGTAAGTCACACTGCACCGCCTTTTGGCCTTGAAGTTTACTGTAAGCATCTGTGACTAAAACTTCGGGAAATGTGGCAAACAAAACTGAATTAGCTGATTGAGTACACAACTGGGTATCTTACCTTCTTGCCACCAAATGCCTGTAAGTCGTGAACTGTGGTGTAAAACAAAAGACATGAGAGAGAGGGAGAGTGGGAGGGAGAGGGAGAGGGAGAGAGAGAGAGAGAGAGAGAGAGAGAGAGAGAGAGAGAGAGAGAGAGAGAGAGAGAGAGAGAGAGAGAGGGAGAGAGAGAGAGAAACCACAACACATAAGAGCAGTGACACTATCATAATTATCACAAAGCAGGGCTTCAATGGCACCTATGCATAATTTTCCCGCGGTTTTTTGTGCGGGGCAACTTCACGACCTCGACACTGTACTTGCACCACGCAGCGCAGCATGCAGTCTCATGCATGCACGCGTGGAAACTCTGATGATCGTAGACCCCTACGTACCTGCTTCGCGTTTGCTGAGGCTGAAGTACAATGTACAATTTTTTTTCCTTTGTGTTGGTGAAGAATCAAACTCAAAGCAAGACATTTATTTCCTTCTTGGAAGGCAAGGGTTGTCACAGTTTGCTGTTGTGTATAAGTAGCAAGTTAGTTAGAGATCAGTAAGCAGCTGACACAATCATGCCAAGCAACGCTCATTGTATCGTCCCTGGCTGCTCAAATCGTAAAAGCAGCTGCAAGTTTGGTTTGTTTGAGTCTGATGATGCGAACTCGCAAGGACGAAAAGTGTTTGTGAAGCGTCGTCTATGTGGATCAGACCTGGCTCGTGTTGGCTGCGGAGGAACAGCAGAGGTCTGTAAAGCTGTATCTTTTCATCGTTTGCCTAAAGATTCGGATCGACGCCGGCATATCAGGGCCGAGTGGCTTGCCAAAATACCAAGAGTCAACACTCCTCTTTCTGGAAACTCGTATGTCTGTGGGGTGCACTTTCCTGGTGGTCGACCTGTGACGGAGGACGAGCCACCTTCCCGTTTCTTGGACAAAGCCGTCGTAGTGAAGAGGAAGAGCCGTGTTTCGACAGGCGAAGTCAGTCGACCCGTTGAAGCGATTGATATTGATGACGATGTTGATTTACCAGTCACAGATGAATCGGTGCCTGAGGCTGCAACACTTTTAGCTGACCATGATTATGGTGAAGTTCCCGTTCTCCAAGAGAACAAAATAAAGACTTTGGAAGCACAAGTGGCTAAGTTGCGGTCCCAGTTGGAGCAGGCCTTGTACAATTTGGATGAATCGGAAGAAGCTTTGCGGAAATGCCAACTCCATTACTCGAACATCCGACATGACAACAAGATTGTACTGTTTTACACGGGCCTGAGTTCTCTGGCGTTTGACTTGTTGCTGGATCAGTTGCGGTGTGGATGTCAAGACATGTGCTTTGCTACTAAAGTGCCAGCTGATTTCCTTGGCCAGGACAGCCGTGGCAGACGAAGAGCATTGGCGTATGAAGACGAGTTGCTATTGACCCTTGTCAAACTTCGGCATGCTTTCCCTGAGTCAGATTTAGCACTGTGATTCGGAATAGATCAATCCACGGTGTCCCGAATATTTTCAACGTACATTCGTTGCATGTACTTCTCTATGAAAGAAGTGGACATTTGGCCGAGCCGGGCTCTGATTGATCGCTACATGCCCGACGTCTTCAAAGACAAGTACCCACGCACCCGGGTAATTATTGACGCAACAGAGTTTCCCATTGAGAAGCCAGCCAACCCAACTGTACAAGCAGCCACCTGGTCGAATTACAAAAACAGGAACACTTTCAAACTGTTAGTTGGTGTGACACCTACCGGTGCAATATCGTTTCTGTCTCCTCTTTATGGCGGGCGCATTTCTGATAAGAAACTGACAAAGCGAAGTGGGCTAATGAAGTTGATGGAGAAGGGTGATGCCATCATGGCCGACCGTGGTTTCGACATTGCCGATCTGCTACCGGAGGGTGTCGATCTCAACATACCCCCGTTTCTTGGTTCTCGAGATCAGCTTGATGAAGAAGAGGTGATCGAAACTCGGCGTATTGCTAGCGTGCGTATTCATGTGGAGAGAGCAATGGAAAGGATCAAGAACTTCAGGATAACTCACTTCTTATCTTCCGTGTTGTGCCCTTTGGCTGAGCAGATCATATTTGTGTGTGCATTCCTCACTAACTACATGGAGCCCCTGGTACCTCCGCCTGTTAGTAAGCCATCGACACAGTCTGCACACTTTTCCTCTGCTGCAGAAGTTGCCCAGATATCACCAGATGCAAACATTTCTGCAGTGGCTGTTTCAGCTGGCACATTTCTTTCACCTGCCATTACTGCTTCTGCTGCTGCTTCCGCTGCTACCAAGTTGTCATCTGCTGTAGCTGCTACTTCTGCTGCTACGAACGTGCCATCTCCTGTAGCTGCTACTGCTGCTGCTATCAGCGTGCCATCTTCTTCTGTAGCCGCTGCTGCCTATGTGACCACTCCCGTATGTTTGTTTTGCAAGCGCTCAGATGGCCCACTTCTTAGAGTTTGTAGGTCTTGTAACTCACGCTACCACCATATGTGTCAGAATGATGATGAAGATGGGCGTCTATGTAATTCTTGCTTTATGACCAGGCCGCTCTGTTGAAAGCTTTTTGCGCATGCCGATATTCCTACGTGGCCTCGGTATTTTCTTCCCCTCTTTTCTTTGTGTTATGTTGTGAGTAATGGTGCCCCTACACAATGATGCTTATTTCACTCAGGACTTCGTACTTCGAAGTAGAAGTAGTGATGCTCCTATTTGTCTGTTTGTGCTGTTCACCAGGTAGGAAATGTGGCCTGTGACTGCTGCAAGTGCCGCTTACTTTGAAGTAAATACGAATACTCATGTAACGTTCATGCCTTTTTGAACTCCGTTGTAACACGGAATGGCGAGCTATTGTAAACCAGTTGTACGTGCCGTTTTTTGTAGTGGTTACCAGTAATGGCAGTATAATTTACTATAACGCACTGTTTACAGCAGAGTTCCACTGTCTTGGGTACATGTATACAACACTACCTAATCATGTACAAATGCAGGAAGCCGGTAGCTGATGGAACTATCCACCATCTAATCACGGCGTTTATATCAAGAAGGAGCTACAGAACAGGGCAGAACAGAAAAAGCTATAATAAAGAACATAGAGTGCAGCGTATAGAACAGTTCAGACACACTTACAGAAGAAAAGATTGCCACAAATCAGGGAAGAATGTAAACAGTCAAGACTACAGGAACTGGAGCAAAGTGAGCAATGGTCATCTCAGATGACGAGGAATATATCTATTACCAAGAAACTTGATCACAGAGCCAGTTTCGGGAGAACATGATCAAAATAAAATGTTCGGCAAGCTGCGAGAGTTTTCTTGACATGCACTTCACAAAATGAAATGCGCTCAACAAAAAGATCATTGCAGGGAGACCACACTACAAAGTCACAAAATTGAAGGCCTGCAGCAAAGAGCTGCATTTGCACTTGTGTATAGTAGGCATGTGTTGTTTTGAGAGAAAGCACACCATCCTTGTTGGACAAACAAAATGATGCAGTAGACCCAGCTACCTCTGCTAGACTTTGGTCTCTAGCAACAAACGGGCATTTAATCTCGAGCAAAAGTGATGTATCACCATCCCTAACAATGCCATCGGGACTGGCACCAAACCAGCATTCATCAGCATGCACAAATAAGCCACATGCAACAACATCTATCAGCTTGCCAGACTTGGCTTGGTGGGCTACGTAGGCACATCGTGCCTCTTCTTCATGATCAATCCCCCATCTGGTTGCAGGAGTGGTGAACGCCGGCCGATCAATGATAGTTTTTATGAGGGATGACGGGTCAGTCTGAGGTCGTCGATGAGCTACAGTATGGGCAATGGAAGCTGTAATACGCTTCTTTCGTTCATTCCTCCAGAGTTCACTTGTTGTTTGGGATGCAGTGGCTTCTTGCAGGGCATTGGCTTCTTCACAAGTAAGTATGACATTGGACTCGTACCACAGCATCTGCTTGTCCTCAGTTAGCCACTCGCAGTCAGATGGCACAGGTGTCACATCACCGTGACAGAGTGCGTGAGTTTGTTAACAAAATCGTTGGCAATGTCCTCGACACGTGGCCTGGGGAGACCCTGGTGATTACAGGACGTGCTGGACATCCCCAGTCCCAAGGCCTAGTGGAGCAGGCGCAATGCCACAGTCTCAAGAGGCTACTGCAAAACCGGAATTTTCGGCGGTGCAATATTTTCAGTATTTCCCAAAATCAACGGTTCGGTAGCGCGAGAACTTCGCTAAACCAGTTTTCCAGATCCAAAAATGCCTTCTACACACTGTGTGGCATGGCATTGTTGAATTTTAGGTCGCGTTATATTTCAGGTAAAAATTACTTGTACCGAAGTTACAACGAGTTATGCAGCAACTATCCACGGCTGTAACAACCATGAACCTTCCAAGTAATAGTTGGAAGGCTGTGTTGGTTTGCGCACTGGAGATGTGCAAGAGCTAGGTCTCGGGTCGCTGAATGTCCCAGTAGCCTGTCAGTTTTGTGCCCTATTATCACACTTTCTGACTGTTCTTGTTCCAGTCGTGGATAGTTGCTGCATAACTCGTTTTCATGTGATTCTTCTCTTTTTTACATTTATTACTGGCTCAGTATCCGAGTTTAAATTCTTGTACCGAAGTTACCGAAAATAAATCTCCACCGAATTTTTCCGGTGAAAATTCCAACATGTTGGAATTTCCATTTCAGTGTTTCCGTACGCATGACGCCCCAAAAGCCAGCAAAAATACGCACAAACGCGTGGTTTCACGCGTACACGCGCCAGATGTGAACACAGCTTAACACATTGACGAGCTGTATTTTGTCTGCTTCTGTGTATTGTGGAATTGATGGTAGAGATTCTACCAGTGAATTCAATGTAAGCCTGTGTGTAAGCATACGTAGAGATGTGAGCATGTGTGCGTGTATGCGTGTGTGTTGCCTCTTGACAACTGCAGGCTGCGGCCTTCAAAGTGCAGCGGCGGAAACGCACCCCCCCCCCCCCCCCCCCCCGGCGATACGATGTCGCGCAACTGAGGGTGTGGCCTACCCATGCGGAGACGAAAGAACCCACACCTGCGGAGATATATCAGGCAACTATTGAGGAAGAACTGACACAATAATGGCAAGAGGACGCCGACGTGGACAGCAAGTGGTCTGTTATCGAGTCCACACCGGACCTGGTCGCATCTGCTACGCTCGGCCATGCTAAACGTTATCAACCGGACTGGTTTCGCGAGGCAATGCCTACGCTACAGCCAATTCTGAACGACCGCAATGCTGCTTACAATTCCTGGGTGTACCATGGTCAGCAGCGCGATACCCCGTCCTATTGCGAGTTTAAGGCAGCCAGGGCAAGGGCACGCGGCGCGGTGGACTCGGCTAGGATTGAGTGGATTCGGGCCAAGGCTCAAGAAGCAACTGAGTCTCACTTCAATGGCGCCATGGTTTGGAAATGCATACATGACCTCAAGGCGGTGGATCAGGGTCTGTGGCCAGTGCTAGCCCCGCCATTGTCGATGCAAGCAGGAATATTTGCAAGTCTCCTGAGGAGCAGGGCCAACGCAGAGCGAATGTCCCAAAAGTACAACTCCGCAAGGCGCAAAAAGGCCATGTCCTTCAAAGTTACCGTATCAGGGTTCCCCGGATCGACCGGGGAAGCGTGGATGCATTTAAAAGGGTTCCTGGCGCAGTGGTGGAGGTTTCCAATAGCCTACAGAATTAAAACATGTGCAGGCGTACTGCAAACGTACCACCGGGCGGATGACCATGAGCTTTTCGCAGAAGAATTATGCGTCACCGTCTTAGATTGGCATGCATGTCCCAAGGTTTCGCTGAGAGAGAGGCATGTAGGCTTTTTAATCGCGGGAAATCATCAACTCCACGGCGGCCAGCAGTGTCATGCCAGTGCAAGTCAAAGGGCAGGTGGGACAATTATAAGAAATTATGTCGTTGCTTTCTTGCCGGTGAGTCGTCGTGCATATCGGCTCGCCACAAAGACACCGCCACATGTGCCACCCAGGAGAACCATAATCAAGAGTCACATGAAGGTGCAGGGGTGTGGATGACGATTGGATGGAAGACGGACGAGATCTTTCTGAAGGCAGAGAGACACAAGAAGCTTCCACGGGAGAGGAATGATGCAGATCTTTCCGAAGGGGTAGAGGCACAAGAATCTCCCATGGATGTCCTTTCCAGGGAAGATGGGTCAGGCTTGTATGGCAGTAGCATGCTTAGCGATGCTGCACCCAGTGCTGCAAAAGCAAGTTGGTAGGTCCGACTGTGGACTTCTTGCTCTGGTGTACCCCGTTGAGCTTGCATGCAGCATGACCCGCACATGTGTCAAGATTGAAGCGACGACTAAGAGCTTATCACGGAATCCTTTCGACCGGGCATAAGCGCGGGAACACCTAAGAGATTGCCTTAAGAAAGGAAAGATGACGCCGTTTCCGCGAGATGCCACTTTGCCAGAGGATTGCTATAATCCGATTACTGTAAATTGAGAAACTTTCGCTAGAGACACAAGAATCTCCCATGAAGGGCCTTTCCAGGGAAGATGGGTCAGCCTTGCATGGCAGTAGCATGCTTAGCGATGCTGCACCCAGTGCTGCAAAAGCAAGTTGGCGGGTGCGACAGTGGACTTCTTGCAATGTTTGCTCTGCATGAAAACTCTCTAAAAGTCCTCTATCTGGTGCTGCAAAAGAAAGTTGGTGGGACCGACTGCGGACTTTTTGCTTTGGCGTATGCGGCTAGGCTTGCACGCAGCACGACCCGCGCATGCGTCAATTCCGATTGAAGCGATGACTAAGAGCTTATCGTGGAATCCTTTCGACCGGGCTGGAACGCTGGGACACCTCAGAGATTACCTGCTGGCGGGATGCGATCAAGAACATTACGCGTGGTAAAGGCGGACATAACACAATCACAGTTCACACAAACACACACATACATACATACCATGCACATGGTGTTGCTGGAAACTCTTTCCTGGGGCAAAGTGAAAGTTGCCAGCCACCTGCAATGGACAACAACAAGCCGGGTTGGACACAGAACCTTCATTAGCCATGGTCCGGACAGGGCTATACCAGGGGCGTCAGAACGGGTGTGGCAGTAATTGTATCCTGTACTGGAAGCAATGAAAATTATGAAATATAGGCTATCCGGGCCCAATTTTCTTAACAATGTCATGGGCAAGGCACCCGCCTTTTCATAGTCGTACCAATGCTGAAGACCTTGCGACGCCCCTGCATACAGAGTTATCGAGGAGATTGACGCCGCGGTGTATCGGATTGTACACTTTGCGACTAAGAGCATCCGGGTGGTATACATCAATCAGCCCAAGCCAGCTGGTCGTTTTCCAGAGGAACATTGCGTCATAGTATCTATGCAATCACACTAACAAGTGACCATTGACTATCTTCAAGACAAAGTACATTCAGATCATCGGCCAGCAGTTCCAGCATTTCGCTATTTTACCGGTCAAAGTGAAGGTGATACTAACCAGCTAGTTGCTGTCCACCACGGGACAATAGGTACACACGTGCACACATGCACACACACACACACATGCACGCGTGCGCACACATGCATGCACGCACGCACACACACAAATACACACACACACAAGCACTGACCTTATTGACTTCCAAGAAGCCGTGGACACGGCAGCCTTCGTTGTGCTGTGCCTTCAGCTTGTCACTCCAGCCATCACGTTTGCACTAGTGTGTTACATAGACATGAACAGACACACACACACACACACACACACACATACACACACATGCCCCCCCCCCCCCACACACACACACACACGCACGCACACTAAAAGTATCGTTGACATATCACAAGACTAGACACATGGGGGGAGAGGAGGCTAGTTTGCAAGGCTCATCACTACTATAAAGTATCGCGAGAGCGCCCCACCTTGATTTTACAGCCAGGGAAAGGAAAATCGTATGGCAGAATGCAAAGAAGTTTTTCCGGTTTGAGATTCCGCCATAGTGTACTAAGGTCACACTCACGAAGGTTTTTGTGTGGAGCTCGTGTACGCCCAAAGGTAAATTGAGCACGGATTGACTGCACTACGGCAGTGTGTGTACAGGGTTCGTGTCGTATGGCCTACAGACAGGACACCACCTCCACAACACGACCACGAAAGGACGAGGTGGTGGGGGGCGCTCTGGCTGTGCTTTACGGTGTTAGTATCCTACCCTCGCCTCACACTACCAACCACTAGGCATCATCCGTTGAAAGTTGTATTGTGAATCGGCCTTTACGGGGTTTTTTTTCAATCGCCCGTCTATATTTTTGAAACGCACTGTAGAACAAACACCGGCAAGGAACGATTGGTTGTCAAAGAAATAAAAGTCAGCACACACCAGCAAACCTAGTCTTACCTGCTCAATGGTCTGCGGGTCAACGAACGCCCATCCCTTGCGACGGTACGCCTCGCGAACGTCGTCGCAATTGTTGCAGCAAGTCAGACCGGGCGTCTCCGCTCCGTAACAGCTCTCGCAACGATTCGGATCTAGGACTGGCGCGTTGGCCGCCGCCTTCTACAAGTCAACACGCGCACACAGGAACAGTTGCCATTCAGTGATTACACTTCAGTAGGAGACCCCCCCCCCCCCCCCTACAAGTGAATATGCACAGGGAAACATGTTGCCATTCAGTGATACAAGTCACCATGCACAAGCACAGTGGGACACATTGCTTTGCAGTGATCATCACTTCAGTAGGAGACCCCCCAATAAAGGGTCACCATGCACAGGCATAGCAAAACACGAAGCCCTGCAGTGCTCATGTCAGCAGGAGAGCGAGAGCGAGAGAGAGAGAGAGAGAGAGAGAGAGAGAGAGAGAGAGAGAGAGTGAGAAGTGCACAGTGGTTGCAGGCCATGCGACTGCATAGCGTCCCTTGCTAGCGATTGTAGGCACGATTGAGTAACACCGAATAAAGGTCTACCCTCGTTAGTACAATATCGGCTACGAGACAAATCTCATAAGTAGACAATGATCAAAAATCCCCTGACGCCTGAAACGCATACATTCACGTCCGGATACAGTAGATAATACTGGTGGTGGTTATAAGACAAACAGTTCGAAACCCCGGGGGTATCCACTAACGAGAGTAGATCTGCAATAGACTATTGGGCTATGTACTGAGTGCTCAACATACCCCTTCATCTTTGCCAATCTCAACTGTAGAAAGAACAGAAGCAAACAACAACAACAACAACAACAACAACAACAACAACAACAACATCTCTTATTGGCCACTGGCTATCGTGAGAAAAAAGATTTGAAACAACAACAGCAGCAGCAGCAGCAGCAGCAGCAGCAAACGAAGCAGCGTTAGCACCCGAGCTGAATCAACAGGCATGCTTCCCCGAATACACAAACATATACATAAACACACACGCATCCCCCCCCCCCCCCCCCACACACACACAGCACTATTGACAATCACACTTGACAGACCAAGCAGCAGTGCATACACAGCATTCCCCCCCCCCCCCCCCTCCAAAATGCAAAACCATATCTGGGTACAGCAAGTGGCACACCGAAAACGAGTACAATCATATACTTGCACTTGCATTCACTCGCACATAAAGAATACGGTGCTATATGTGAGGACCGCCACCCTTCTCAGAGGCCATCACAGAATGTGTATATTACCTGGTTCTTCGGTGGCGCCATCTAGAATAACATCCGGTGGTGGTATCCTTTTCTTGATTAAATTAGGTGTCACATCAATCTGATACAGAAACATATCGAGAAATGTGCACATGCGTGCACATACACGTGCCCACACATGCCCCCCCCCCCCCCACACATACACACCATGTACATACATACACACACACGCACAAGAAAGAAGGCACTCTATTTGCAAGAAGGCTTCCAAACGTGTTTGGACAAACACATCACCAGCAAGTCGAGCATTCCCACTAAACAGGTCCGCTGCGTTGGTTACAAAGTCCTGCTGTACTTGGCATTTCATACCACTTGAAGCCTGTCACTCAAGATGGAAAATCTGCGTATTCCTAAGACCTAGCCCTGAGACATATCAAAGGGAAACGATCACATGAGAAAGGCACAACAGTGGAGTGCTGGGCATGTGCTGAGCATGTGCCGAGATTGTGCCGGGCATGTGCTGAGATTATGCCGATCATGTGCCGAGCATGTGCTGGACATGTGCTGAGATTATGCCAATCATGTGCCGAGCATGTGCTGGACATGTGCTCAGTTGTGCTCATCAACTACAATACACAAGACCAGCAGCACATGACCACCAACACAAGACCAGCAAAACAAAACTACCACCACAGACCACACAAGTACACAGCCAGCAGCAATAGACCACTAGCACAAGCCCACCAGCACATTCACACAAGACGGTAGCAACAAACTTCTGCCTGACAGTGTTTGCGAGCAACAACACCGTCAACATGGAGCCCGACTGACGGCCCCACCGCACTAACCTGCTGTTCACCGGATACGTCCATTACGTCTATACTCAGAACTGCACAGAGAGAGAAAAAGAGAGAGAGAAAAAGAGAGAGAGAAAAAGAGAGAGAGAGAGAGAGAGAGAGAGAGAGAGAGAGAGACACACACACACACACACACACACACACACACACACACACACCAAGTAAGGCAGCCATCCATAACTTGCCGCTGGGACAACATACAGTAAGATCGGGCGCCGAAGAACGCAGGGGCTCGAGCGCAGCCTAGGAAAGTTCTTAAATTTTTGATTCTAGCCAGACCGTTCTTATTCACACGCGCGCGGCGAGTCGAGTGACGTCATGACGTTTGTCATGTACATGTAGTGCAATGTAGTACATGTACTTCTAAACTAGTGGGTGTCGTAAATGGGAATGACTATACATGTAGCAGTTACTGTTTACGCGTGTACATGACATGTACTCACCTCCCATACATGTACATTGTTCCAAATTTTAAAAGTGTTCTTAAATCTGATAATTCTAGCCTGGACTGTTCTTAAATTTTGCCGGTTTTCCAGCCTGGGTGTTCTTCGGCGAGGTGTTCTTCGGCGAGGTGTTCTTCGGCGAGGTGTTCTTCGGCGCCCGATCTTACTGTATGGCAGAGATCGGTGGTTTCATCTTTTTGGTAAAGAGTCATCAGAGTGAAAGGAGAAAACAAAATACAATCATAGTATAATAGTAGGGCCACCTCGCTTGGCCAAAACTAACTATGACACAAGTGGACCCATCAAAGCCGCTGGGAGCCCAAAGAGGCACAGGGGTAGGGGTAATTGTATTGTGATCATGAAAGCATGCCAATGTGATCGGTGCCGTGTTTGGACTACAGTATACATTTATTATAATACAGTACACGGGAAGTTTTGGCAGTGTCCAAATTTGGACACTGCCAAAACTTCCCGTGTACTGTATTATAATAAATTTATACTATAGTCCAAACACGGCACCTTTCACATTTGCATGCTTTCATGATCACAATAATATATTATTCAATTACCCCTACCCCTGTGCCTCTTTGGGCTCCCAGCGGCTTTGATGGGTCCACTTGTGTCATAGTTAGTTTTGGCCAAGCGAGTTGGCCCTACTAATACTATGTATTTTCTTTTCTCCTTTCACTCTGATGATTCTTTACCAAAAAGATGAAACCGGTCAGTAAGAAAGAGAAAATGACCTCGTGTGATTTAAGCTTGTGTCGGGGGTTCTCATATTGCAACAAAAAACGCAGGGTAGCTGTAGAGAGACAGACACACTATGCCATCACACTCAGAGTTACTCAAAGACGCAGGGTAGCTCTAGAGAGAGAGAGACACACTATGCTATCACACTCAGGCCTACTCAAAGACACCGGGTAGCTCTAGGGAGACAGACACAAACACAAACACCCACCCACACAAACGCACGCACTCGCGAACGCAAGCACACCTACCCCCCCCCCCCCCCCACACACACACACACACATACACACACAACCTACTCACATAGACAAGGCAGCTTAGGAAACGATACGTCAACATTGATCTTGATCTTCTGCCCGTGAGAGGAGTCCACAAAGAGCTCAGGCTTCACCTAACAGACACAATGAGCACGGAAACAGTTATGAGAGGCTTGGCACGATTCTTGAATAGTACCCTAGGACGAGGACATTTGGTCGTGAGTCACAAGCTCAAACAGCGAAATCAAACAACTAACTTTCCAGCCGTGCACGAGCCCCAAAAAAGAGTAAGCTAGGTGTGTTTGTCTCAAAACAACGGATCCATGAAAGTGATCAGAGAGACTGAAAACACCTCTAGACTTGGATCGAGGACCAAGGATTATATACTTTTAAAAGTAAATAGACAGGACCAAATGTCTCTATATCGTGGTGAGCGGTACCATTCGGCCTTTCAATTACACAACATTCCTCGTCCGTAGCAGTCCGACACTGATATAACCTAAGCACTGGTGATTCAGAGTGTACAGCAGTTAGCACAAGACCGACTGAAGGGCTTTCGACGAGGTGCCGTGGTCCTTCGTTTTCGTCGTCATTTCGCGCCGTGGCCAGCATTCGTAGTTCGCTGTGACCGTCAACTTGTTCTCGCCTGGAGCGCGCTCACCTTCCCCTGTCTGACGTTACTTTTTACACTCGGAACGTTCCAAGTTGGAAGGCTACCTGTTGGCTTGCACACTCAACACGTGTATATTCACTTCAGTAGTAAGTCATGCTCGATGGTAAGTCGCACCCCTTTCTTACCCTTGCTATTTTGTGTAAAAGGGTGCGACATAATAATATTCGTGGAAATGCGGTAAACATGCGGCCATTGCCTGTCGGTATCAATTGTGCTAACCATTGCACATTCTGCCACACCAGCAATTCCGGTACCGTCAGCCGCGTGAATGAACCCATTGCGCAATGACGTAATTTTTGTGCCATAAACGGTCACCGCTCACACGGCCGCCTGGGCATGGTCGTCTAGCTGGGGCGTTAAAGCAGTGCATTGCACATCCCAGCGTACTAGCATGCATTGCACACGCCTTCCATGTTCGGCAATGCGCAATGGGCTTACACTATAGCGAGCTCGGTTTTAACAACAACTAGCAAACACGACACAACCTTCAGACCCAGGGTCCACTACACTGCATACGTTCAACCTCAGGAGTGACGAAAACGCGCTACTACCGACGCTGTTTTCATGCATGAGAAAGGGTCACTATTTGCAAGGTTGACAGTACAGTACTAGTACACGTACAGAGAGACCTCGCTTAACAGCGCACATCCGTTTTCCACAAAAAAATCTCCGGATAGGCGAGGGAACCGGATAACCGAACATGAGTACCGCTGATGTTGGATGCATCACGTATGCTGTAAATCTGTAACCAGCTACTTTCTTCCGGATGGCGAGGAATCTGGATAAGAGAGGATCGGGTAAGCGAGGTCTGACTGTATTTAGTGCTGGACAACGGAACGCAGCGCGACCAGACGGTCAGCTGAATGCTGCTGAACGCACACAACACATTTCAGCTGAATGCTGCTGAACGCACACAACACGTTTCAGCTGAATGCTGCTGAACGCACACAACACGTTTCAGCTGCTGAACGCACACATCGCGTTCCAGCTGCTCAGCCAGAAGCGTGTGCAGTGCGACTGTGGTGCCGGTGGTGGAGACAGATCCTCGAAACTAGAAAACGGAGCTTCAAATTCAGGCACGGAAACATACTGCAAGCAACAGTATCGTCCACCACCCCATGCAAAGGTGACAACGAAAAGAGTTCAAAAGACATGTACAGTGCTGGCCAGAGAAATCCAACCTCATGAATAAAGTAGAAGTGCACAGAACAGTGTTTTAACGTTTTAGTGCTAGGGCTGTGCAGCGCCCGGTGCTATTTTATTCTTGAGGTTGGATTTCTCTGGGCAGCATTGTACATGATCGTTTGCCTTCTACATGATGGAATTGAATTCAATTGATACGAGCGCCTACTAAACGCAGTCCGAAATGATCTTGAGGATAACTTACTTCGGTAGCTAGGTAGTAGCGAAGTTCCGCCACAAACAGCACAATCATGAGCACGCCCGTGACAAACGTTACTGCGGCAGCGACAATACAGAACGCAGCGTGATACCATGCACACACACACACACACACACACACACACACACACACACACATACACACACACACACACACACACACACACACACACACACCACCACCACCACCACCACCACCCACACGCATGCGCGCGCACAATCAAGTCTAGTGAAATGACAATTGCGGCCTAGATATTCAAAGAAAAGTCGGGCTAGCTGCAGCACTGCCGCTGGCATGGCAACCACTACAACAAATTCTAAAACTGAATTACCGTGTTGTATATACACGCATTGGGTGTGTCTGAAAGTCATGGTTGAGAGATCAGCTACATGAGTATCTTCTAGGTAAGCTACAGCCAATAACTATGGCCTGAGTGACACATGATATGGTCCATTTCTGGCCTTGGTTACAGCATACGGCGGTGCAAAGCTAAGCATTTCTTTTCTCAAAACTTTGTGGAACTTACACGGAATCGCCTCATCAAGCATAATGATAGAAACTATAGATAAGCTGGACATTCTACTACCTACATTATTAATAAATATTACAATAGTCCACTTACGGGCACCACCTGAAAATGTCTTCACTCTGAAGTCCTCAAGTGTCTTCGGGTAGGCGTCGAAGCGACGAAGTTTTCCCAGCAAGTCCGCTCCTGCCATGGCTCAAGAGTTTGTTAGCAGCTTGAGAAACGAATCGAGCTATCACTCACACATAATTGTTATACAGAAATGAGAAGTTTTGTTCTGAATATGGTTCGCCCCCTTCTGAGTTCAGATCATACACTCAAACTGAGTCAAAGATTGAAACAAAAATTATTGTTTTTCAAAGTCAGAAAGACCGTACATCAATCATAGATGCGCACATCTACACCATCAAGGCATAATTACTGCATGTACCCATACGTATATACCGGGGCCAGGGATCGTAACATGAAAATCGTAATTATTTTTACGACTTGTCCATGACAAGATCGTACTCGTAACCATAGATTCTACATGCTACATAGCAACAGTAACTGAGTCATTGTCGACATGTCATGACGCCATCATCAGTTAGTGACATCACACCCTTCGAACACGTAGAGGTGAAGCCATCTTTGCATCTATTGCGCAAAATCATGATGTCAGTTCCCTTTTCAGCGATCATGTGACTTGCTTCAGCCAATCAGAAGCTGCCACAGGAGGAAACTATCTTTCTCAGTTCTGCACTCACAACCAGAACTTTTCTGTAGGAAAAAGTGAAGGAACAGCCAAATGTGCTCCCAAACGAATCTTGTTTTCGTTGCAAAGTTTATTTGCTTGCAACTGTCTCACGCATAGTCACCATGAGTGCAGTAGAAGTGTTGATTCCGCAGCAGAAAAAGTCTGCTCGGAAGCGGGAGAATCTGGATCATCTTTCGGAGAAAGAGCGAATTCAGAGAAGGTATTTCCTTGACTCAATTATCATTGTAGTTCAGTCGTTTTCCAGAATTCTTATTGGGGTATTCTGCTGTGCCATGCCTTTGGTAGAAAAATCACCAATCGAGTTTCAGCCCAGGCTGCACGTGAAAGAAAGAAGGTGTATGTCGACCAGTTGGAATCTCTTGTGAGGCAATTGCAAAATGAGGTGAGTGCTGCTGGTCCTATCATCACAGCTGATAACTCATTCTCGAGTACTCGTGTCAGCAGTGCCTACTGGTACTCATCCGTCATTGTAAACACGCGTCCAATACTCTTCCTTGTGTGTTTATTGTTGTATGCAGAATGGCAAATTAAAATCACGAGTCGGACTTTTGGAGACTAGAATCAATATAGTCCGCGAAGATAATTCCAGACAGCGATCCACGGCAGCCCGAGCCACCACGGCAAGTGCACGATGTGACATGCCAGCAGTTCGGGGGTGCCTGGCCGCCCCAGCTCCAGTGAGCGACCATGACATTCTGGATTTGGAGATGCCCATCATGGACATCAAGACCGAGCCGGTGGAGTGCGAGTCCGCAGCACTCGATGTTTCTCAGCCGCAGAAACGGTGCACTTCACCGACGGAGTCAATGAATCATTTGAATCGCATGATGCTCATGATGACCTGTCTCAGGTGAGTTTTCATAGATCTAGACTCCTTGTCATGTGTTACTATGACCTGCGTCACTAGTACTCAGACACTAGTAGTCGCGTTTTTCGACCCAAATGCTAGTAGTAGTGTGTAATGCCATCTGACATGGTCATTTAGGCCTTGTGTCTTTGTGACCCCCTCAGAATGACCAAATCGGTCCTGTGTGCCACAGCATTGTTCTTCATGAGGCCTTTTGTGGTGCTATTACCAAGAGTGTGCAACTGTGGATGGTTTGGCCCACATGGAATTTTTCGTTGACATCTTTTCTGGAAATCATGAGCGATGCTGTACGAGTGCAGCACGCGCTTGGTTTACATTAATTTTGCTAGGGGTGAAAGTTGGCACTGAGATCCCGAGTTCGAGTGTTTTCATCTCCTAAAACTTGCACACCAAGGGCTTTAAAATAACATGATACAACCCTGATTGAACCGAGTAGCAGTCATTTTTCTCGGGTATATTGGTTGGTGGGTCATTTGGGCTCTACTCGTGAACAAATATTCACCACACAGCCTGCACATCACCATCTGCCGACTGCTGCCCTGAAACTGCAGATTTCTGTAGTAAATGCATGTACCATGTATGAACGAGTACTCTGATTTATTCCGAGTACGATTATTTTTGAAAAAACCGAGCGAGTACTCGGTGTAATTGTTTCCCCCCTAAATTTTGCTAAACTTGCCATTTTACGTGATGAATTCGCAGCCTCGAGTGTTCATAGCCGGGGGCCACAGCATCTGGCGAAAATATGCGGTGAAAGCTGCTCTGTGTATTTGCTGGTTTCTTTTGATTTGTTTGACCCTTCTCTTGATTTGTGTTCCTTGTTTATTACAGTTGTCTGGCAAGTCCGACATCGGCATCCCAGCTGGGGGAGGTGCTAGCCAGCACTCCGTTCAGTCCACAAGTGGAGACCCCGTTGCTCTCGACCCCGGACTGTCCCTCCCAGACTTGTCCGCCTTCTTCCCGGAAAGCAGCGGACTTACCGACTACCTTCCCCTCGGAGATGTATGGTGCAATACCCCTCCTATTTCTGATTCAGACAGTAGTCCTATCGCTGTACCAGAATCGCCGTCCACAGTATTGCAGCAGTTACTGGAAGGGATCGAGTGCGACGAACTGCTTCTCACGCCGCCTGGATCCTGTGGGTACGATAGTCCTGCCGGGTCACAATCGGATATCGACATTGATTTGTTGCTAGACCCAGCCTCGCCGGAGTCAGCAACGGGATTTCTGTTTCCAGAGGTGTCATGGTAGGCCCTGCCCTTTGGTTTTCCAACTCTGTTAACCTTGCTAACTTCGGAAGGCGGCTCTTCCAAGTTTCTGCCCAGTGCTGTTTTCCGCGTTCTTGTTTTTCTGCCATATGGCTGGCTTTCGTTTTGCTGTATATACTTTACTCCCTGCTACAGTTATATCTTCCTTTAATTTCTCTGTTAAATTGCATTTCGATTTGTTGACTGGCGGTCAACTACATCTTGCTGATCACCGCTTTTATTTTGCTTACTTTGTATACCCGCTTCTCCTGTGCAGCTAGCTTTGACGATGTGCTTTATTGTACCTTGATCACAAATATTCACCCTCCTTTTCCTGCTGAAGCTTGCTTTAATATAGATTTGCTGGCTTAGCTAGTCTCCTTAGCTAGCTGTGTGTTATGTTTAGTTCTTATCATTGGTATCAATTACCATGTTTCTCTTGTCGGATACGAATACGTTGTAAAACAAATAATCCTAATATTTCTAGCCAATGACAGGTGCAGGATTGTCGGGTGCCGGTGAATCGACAACACGTACACGTGGGGGGGGGGCACTTCCATCTTTGCATATCGAAAGTGATGATGTCAGTTTCAGTTGTCCTGTGAATTGTTTCAGCCAATCAGAAGGCTCGTGACTTGTGTAGCTCCTGACATTAATTAATTATGACTCTGTCCCTCCAGGAACTTGCCTTTCCGCAGGGAATGCAGCTGTGTTTTCCGCGATTTGAACAAAAGTCTGCGATATCTGGAAAATCATCCGCGTTGAAAATAATTGTTTTAAGATCGACACCATGTACCAGAAATGGAGAAGTTTCTGGGCAAATCAGAGGCTGATAAGTCAAAAGATCTCGCGTCGAATGACTACCGTAAAGTCGTGTACAGAAGCCGCAATTTTGGGCCAATCAAATCACACATAAGCCTGGTTTTAGATAGAAATACCTGTCTTGTATAGAAGCCTGCGAAATTTCACCAAGAAAGCAAGAGTTCATAACCCCCACGATGAACTCGTGAAGAAAGTCATAGAAGCCGCGGCTTTTATACAAGACTTTACGGTATGTTGTCCAAGGATGGAGGAAAGCTGTCTTGCAAGCTCCTGTCAGGCAGTTGAACACATGCACAGCCGTTAAAGCCGCAAACGAGTACATACTCGGAATAAATCAGAGTACTCGTTCATACATGGTACATGCATTTACCACAGGAATCTGCAGTTTCAGAGCAACAGTGTGGTGAACGTTTGTTCACGAGTAGAGAGAGCCCAAATGACCCACCAACAAATATACTGTAAGACATGTTATTAAACGAGTCAATACGATAACGATCTTGCAGTCTTCAGGCATATCCACAATATAACATAATTATGTGGCCTTACAGCGTGCAGCCTGAACAAAACTTATATAAACGAAGAAATGTCACCCGTTAAAACGTTAGATTTGCTTCCTCGTTACATTAACATGTCTTACAGTACCCGAGAAAAATAACTGCTACTTGGTTCAATCAGGGTTTTAGCATGTGAATTTAAGGCTGCGTTTACACGACAACGCTCGGCCAGTTTTCCGTTTTCAGTCTCGCATTTCTTTTTTCGTTTTCGTGCGTTTACACGATCAAAGCTGATCCGAGGTGGTCTCGGTTTGTATCGTTTTCGCGCGTCTACACGGGAGGAAAGGATCCGCCAAAGTTCGTCATGTGACAAGTGTTGTCGTGGAAGCACCAATCACACTCAAGGAATGGTTGGAAACAGGCCACACGACAACACTCGTCACATGACGAAAATTGTAAAAACACCTTTTTGATTGTCGGATCCGTGTAAACGGAACAAACGTGACGGAAAACGAGGCCAGCAGACCGTTTCAACTGTTTACACACCCACAATTATCCGGCAGAATATTTCCGTTTTCAAATTCTTCCACCTCGGCCAGCGTTTTGATTTTCTTCCATTTTGGTGTACAACTTTTACGTTTTGCTCCGCGTACCATGCATCCGAAAGAATTTCGTTGCGTTTTCACCCCCAGCGTTGTCGTCTTAACGCAGCCTAAGGCCCTTGGTGTGCAATTTTTAGGAGATGAAGAATACTCGAATATTCGATCGGAGAAAATCAGAGTACTCGGACTCGGGATCTCAGTGCCAACTTTCACCGCTATAGTAAACACAGTAAAACCTGGGACCTGGTTCTAAAGACCACCTGGCTTTAACGACCGCTTTTGCTTGCACCGTGGGGTGGTCACCTACACCAGGTTTTACTGTAGTCTACATTGGGTTGGGAATATGGAGAGATTTCACTTTCAGTAGATCTACATGCAGTTCTGTATATCACTGTACAAACATGAAACGCTACGGTTACTAGTACACAATCATAGCGAGATGCTCTGTTCCAAGACACTGCAGAATCTAGGCTATGGCAGTCAGTGGCGCCGACGTACTGTATGATCATAATTTGCGACGCCATTTAAAATTTACGATCTCCGGATCTTTGTTGGCTAGCGACTTGCGATGCTAACGAATTTTGGCTGTCGAGCTCAGCAAACAACTTTACATACTGAAGTACTAAAGGTATATACGGTACAACCTGCCCTAAAAGCGGGCGTTCTTGGTGCGGCGGAAACTGTCCTGATATGACAGGATTCCGCTTCGTCCAGGGATGCATGTTCAATCCACAGCACGCTGGTGCATGGGATTGAGAATCTGTTCGGTCAATACAGGATTCCGCTCGGTACAGGCTCCAGCAGACATGAGTCTAACTGTACATCGTTTTTTTGCGGATTACGAATTCATTCATTCAATCGCTAGACATAAATGTTCGTCAATGAAAGTGGTCTTACAGTACCCAGATAAGAGGCGTTTGCATGCTCACATGCACCATTCCTGCACACAGAGAGTGGGTTCAGCAGAGTCGATGGTGGCGAGCAAGACTACAGTACTGTCGGGCGCCGAAGAACGAACAGGCTAGAATTTCACCAAGCACAGCATACCAATGTATACGCGGTGACTCAGCTGTGCATAGACTGTGATACATGAAAATAAGAACGGTCCAGGCTAGGAGGCTGACACCCGATTCTTCGGCGACCGACAGTACTGTATCACTAGTACAGTGCTGGTCAAAGAAATCCAACCTCATGAATAAATCAACGCCCTAGCACTGCACATATACATACTGGTTTGTGCACTCCAACGAGTGGGTGCTTTATTCATGAGGTTGGATTTCTTTGGCCAGCACTTACACTGTACCCAGAGTACATAAGTTCATAACCAAGACGGCAAGAGTGTGCAACTCCTATCTCGAGCTGTGATACCCATGGCGGAATTTCTCATTGCGTCATTCTCTGGCAATGTATGATCAAGTGCGTATGCTTTCCCTCGCCTGTTTTGTAGATGCGGTGGGAGTTCATCAGGTTCAGGACACATTGATATATCGCCCGCTGTTCTGCTTCGACTATCGTTGCTGTGATGATGGCATCAGTGAGCCAAACCGCAGGGGGGGGGGGGGGGGGGAGGGATCGTCGAGTTGCTCACTCTTGGTTATGTACTCTTGGCAAGTATGCAGTTCCACACCATATGAAGCCCAGGGTGCAATGTAGGAAAACTTTCAACTTTTCACTTGATTCACAACAAGCACTTGGGGAAGAGCTGTTCTAGAATGCACAAAGGCGTGCACAAGGTAGATTATTTTACATATTTTCAGAAATTCAATGGTCAACCAGCGACACAAGCCATAAATTTACGGAAACGAGAAAAAAATGCACCAACTGATTTCTTGTCCAAGCAAGGAAAGTGGGGATAAAATTTGTACAGCAACGTCCATTGGAAAAGCAAAAGAAGGGCGGGTGTTATGAAAAAAAATACAAAAAGATCTCACACATACACACATAATAATCACGATCATGGGGATTTTTTGAATTCTATTCTCTCAACTTTGACGTCATCTCCTACCAATTGGTATACGTACGTGACCACCATAGCTGACTGGATGTCCATCAGCACGAACGATGGAGTGACTTCGCTCTCCAGCGGGTGGAACGCTCCCGTGGCTGAGCCGGGGTTGATATAGAACTTTCCCTCGTGCTCGAATGCCTCGAATTTGTGCGTGTGACCAGTGATCAGAACATCAACGTCCAGCTGACGCTGCAGCAGGGCCAGACTCTCCATGTCTCCCCAAGGAACAATCTGGTGTCCATGGCACAAGCCAATCTTGAACTGGCCCACGGTGACGGTCTTCTGCTCGGGGTACGATGTGTTCTCATCGAAATCACCTTTCGCCACATGAACATCACTGGCCAGACCTTTCAAATAGTCGTATGACTCTTTGGTGCACAAATTACCTGTGCACAGGATATGCTGGATCTTTCCTGGCATCAGCAGCTTCTTGAACTTAGGAGGCAGTCCATGCTGCCTGTGTGGGATATGCAGATCCCCGAGCACCAGAACAAGAACCATTTTCGCAACAACTAACCCAAACTTTGGGATAACCTCTGCTGAAAATTTCGAAAAATTGAAGTCCTATTCTTGTTTTTGAGACTCATCCCCGAAGCTACAAAATCAGTGCGCCCTCCAAATCCGATCGCGTATTTCCTAGCACAACGCCACAGAACGCATGCGCATACTCCAAAGTGTTACTGGAATCTTTGAACTCAAAACGAGAGAAATTGAATTTTGACAACTCATTTTTTGTTTCTGCACCATCATCCGCACAGATCGAATTCGTGAATGGAATGGTTTCGCCAACTTTCCAAGGAGTTTGAGCAGTGGAAATGGTGTTAGCAAATCACAGAGAAAGCTGCGGCCTCCGCGGCGCGCCTCGCCATCATATCATTTGGCCGGACATACGTCATGATTGATAAGAGAGTGAAACAATTTTTTTGAATCAAAGCAAATCAATCACATAACAACAATACATTGCACAAAGAAACAGAAAAGTGCGAACACAACAACCATTGCTAAACACAGAGCTCCATGCATGACTGATTTGATCTGGGTTTGGTCGAGCTAAGGCCTGTTCTCTGTTCATGAGAAGCAGCTGAGGAGGAAATTCAGTCCCAGTAACTACCAGAAGATGGGGTCATTTTTCGCGAAGAAATCTCCTCCACCGGAGGAGAATCGTCAAAGCAGAGTGACTGATCAGGACAAGGCGGTTTTGGTAAGCCATTCCATTCGCACATCACACAAGTTACCCTCTGAGCAAACGAGTTGCGCTCATCACTACACTAAGTATGTACTGATAGGTTCTTCAGTTGACCAGGCAGACCACACGACGAGTGCAGACAACTGCACGAGCAGTTCACCAGCCAACACTGCACCATAGCATGTTGTGCTATTCCCAGCCAGTCTTGTTTCGTTCCATGAGGTAGCGGAAACCTATCAGAGGAGAAGCAGTTGTTGTATGAACGCAGGATTGAGCTGAATACTAGTAATGCTTTCCTCTACAGAAGATATTGGCGCAAGATGTCAACACTCGACTAACTCACGCCTACTTCTTTTCTGATGAGTTCCCGTTCTGCCGAAGAACGTAGCGCTGAAAAATGGGCTAGAACTGCACCACGCACAGCATACCGTAATACACGCGGTAACTCCTCTGCTCATAGATTGCTGTACGCGGACATAAATAAGAGCTGCCTAGGCTACGACGCTGACCGACCTCCAGCTCTTCTGCCGCCGATAGTACATATACTCTACTGCATATACTTTGGTGTACTTGTACTGCTGGAAAACAGTTGTTTCTACTAGACCATCAAAGCGTCTCACCACTTTAAAACTTCACCGGCCTAGTACCGTATTTCTCCAAATATAAGTCCTACTCCTTTTTACACTCAACTTCAGGGCCTACAAAGGGGTGCGACTTACATTCGAGCATGACTTACTACTGAAGTGAATATTGAAACAGTATTACATGGACCTGAAACTGGGGATGCGACTTGCAATCGGAGAAATACTGTAGTTAAACAATCGACGAGGAGACAATAGTCGTAAAATGGCAATAAATAAGATAAATTGTGCACTCATAACAACAGCAAAAATGAAGAAAGTCAAGTTCCATAACGTTTTCTTGTGACTGTCATCAGTGGAACGCCGTCACATAAAAATGTAATAACTAAAACACACACTTATATACATGTAGCTAATATGGTTTCAGGTAGAAATACAGCAGCTAACAAGTACAAAAAGCGAAGTTTGCACCTTTGCAATGTGTGAATATAGTGTATGTGAGAAAGGTAGTGGCAGATGAATGTGATACTGTGTGAATGAATGTAATGGTGCGTGTGTATTACTTGAAGAGTGTGAGTGATACAACGTTTTCTTTCTGTTTACATAGCACAGGGTCACGAGTACGAATATACACAGCTTCCAACACCTGCAATTGCTTGAAGAAACGTGCGCAACGAATAACACTAAACCAGGAATCGTCAAACACCTTACGACATTCTGGACTGGACACCAAATGCTTGTACACTGCAGACTTCCTCTTGTCAACATCAAACTCCTCCCCATCATTACTCTCATCCTCCACCTCCATTCCAATGCCGCCGTCCATCCCATCAAGCAGCACGTCCCATTATCATTGTTGTCCCAGGCTGCCAGGTTAAGCAGGCCGAAGCGTGGGAGACCACGAAAACATCCGCTGCCTATTTCTACACCTAGCACGGCTCACAATTCGGAAACAGAAACACCGACTACTTCCATGGAGAACGAGCAGACTAATCTGGTTCCCCCCTCGGAAACCGGACCACGGCAAGGGAGGCCGCCGGACGGTCGCTCCTCGACAAACCATGTTGCTACAACGGTAAGAGCGGAAGGGGAACAACTTGAAAACAGAGCAGAACCGAGGAGAAGCAAGAGACTAGCAGAGGCACGACTGAGACAAGTGGAGAACACAAGGCAAGGAGACGCAGGAGGAAGCACAGGCACGGCACAGAACGAATCAAGGAGAGGGAAGCGGTGTCGCGAGGAGATGGAGACTGATGACGACGAATACGAGTGCGATGGGATGGACGGCGGCATTGGAATGGAGGTGGAGGATGAGAGTAGTGATGGGGAGGAGTTTGATGTTGACAAGAGGAAGTCTGCAGTGTACAAGCATTTGGTGTCCAGTCCAGAATGTCGTAAGGTGTTTGACGATTCCTGGTTTAGTGTTATTCGTTGCGCACGTTTCTTCAAGCAATTGCAGGTGTTGGAAGCTGTGTATATTCGTACTCGTGACCCTGTGCTATGTAAACAGAAAGAAAACGTTGTATCACTCACACTCTTCAAGTAATACACACGCACCATTACATTCATTCACACAGTATCACATTCATCTGCCACTACCTTTCTCACATACACTATATTCACACATTGCAAAGGTGCAAACTTCGCTTTTTGTACTTGTTAGCTGCTGTATTTCTACCTGAAACCATATTAGCTACATGTATATAAGTGTGTGTTTTAGTTATTACATTTTTATGTGACGGCGTTCCACTGATGACAGTCACAAGAAAACGTTATGGAACTTGACTTTCTTCATTTTTGCTGTTGTTATGAGTGCACAATTTATCTTATTTATTGCCATTTTAATACTGTAGTTATTCGAAGCTAAAAGCGATCTCATCGATTGCGTTGCGACCCGACCGAGGCAAGCCAAAGTTCAACTCCTGAAAAGCAGCGAGCCCAGAGAAGATAAATCTCGTATGGAAATGTGATTTTGGGTGTCAACGCCGTGAACAGCTTCTCTTTCCAACGAAGAAACAAACTCAATGCAAGTGTCTAAACATTTGACCTGGTGATGCTGCAAGGCCTGGCCCTGCGACGTTTCAAATCTTTATTCTCGCGATGGCCAGTGGGCGATAAGAGGTGATCGTGTTGTTTTACCGTCGCAAGAGTGCGAGCCTGTTTCCACTGAAACCAGGGCCTTGGTGCGAGGGAGTACGATCGTTAGTGACACGTTGATGTTTTATTTATTTTTCCATTATGGGTGTAGCCCAGAGACAGATAGAAGTGCCATGATGATATTTGGAAATAAATTAAATAATGGTTGGTTACTGTGGAGCTTTCCATCGTGAGAAATCCCTTCAGACTGATCTGAATTGCATTAATGGAGAACGACCGAAGAAGGATTCGACTGCGATGGGCTAGAGGTTGTCTTTGAAAGCTTGCGTCCATTTGCCCAAACCTTCTATCCAGGGATGCAGCCAATAGATAGTAGGAAATCACCGGTGATGATGTTGATATGCTGCTTGGCTTGAGCTGCTTATGGTGCCTGACATTCCTGTGAAAGAAAAGGCGTGAAAGCTGGTTCTTTGAAGCTGGGTCAGTGAACATTAAAATTGAAGCCAAAAGTTACCACTTGATGTGCTCTTCCCCTTTTGTTACGTGCCTGTCGCTGACGTAAGTGCTTTCTTCTTCTTCTTCTGTGCGGGCGTGTGTGTGTCTGTCTGTCTATCTGTCTGTGTGTGTGTGTCCGTGTGTGTCTGTATCTGTGTCTTTGTCTGTACCTGACCGTGTGTGTGTGTGTGTGTGTGTCTGTGTCTGTGTCTCTATGTGTGTATGTGTGTGTATCTGTGTGTGTCTGTCTGTGTATCTGTGTGTGTCTGTCTGTGTATCTGTGTGTGTGTCTGTCTCTGTGTCTCTGTGTAGGGCTTGAAGCAACAGCGTGACAAGCTGAAGCAATATCAGAAGCAGGTGAGCATGTGTGCTGTTGCGGAAGATATTGTTTGATTTCTGGCCTAGTTTCCTGAGATGACAGTGTACATGGACGTCTAAAGCAGGGATGAATTTACTGTCATGTTTTTGCATAGCAAAATCTCAATTGTGGCGAAAGCTACAAAAAGCATGGATGGTCTGTACATGTATGTATCGCAGTTTTCTGCGTGTCACTGTCATTTTCGAGTAGCAGTAGATCGATTTTGCGTAGCAAACTGCGATGCGATACCGGATAAATTCATCCCTGTAAAGTATGACGTGTTCGTGTGCACGAGACTGGCAATGCCATAGTACGAAACCACACCTGAGTTTGTGAAACGGCTTATCTCCGACTGGTCGGGGACACAAGTTGAAATCGTTATATGGGCGCCTTTTTCCGTCTTTTGCCGGAGTATAAGTCGTCCCGGAGTAAAAGCTGGCCCCAGGTTATTTTGCCACGAACATGGTCAAATGCCATCCCTGACTCAAAACTGAGACAGTATTGATGAAATCTGCATGGCAACTAGGTTAGGCGTAACTAAGATGTTGCTATGCGGTTGCTATGGTAACTAGGTGCAATATAAAGACACACCTTTTTCCACACCTTGCATTCTGGTATGATAACATCAAAGATAACATCACACTTTTTATGACCTGCTAGGTGTCCTCTGCACGGCCAAGGTCAGTTTAGGTTGTGTGGAAGAGGTTGGAACAAAGCTGAATCTTTTGGCCATGTGGCTCTTGGACTATTGCAAGACACACCTCATTTATATGTATAGACAACAATGAAAAAACCCTGACTCCTGAAACGCGTACACGCCAGTCCGGATAGTACATACTACTCGTTATAAGACCAACATTTTTGAAACCTCCGGTGTTGTCTGCTAACGAAGGTAGACCTGTACTGATTTGATGAGTGATGGTGTGATTGGCCTTGTCAGACTTGGCATTGGCTTCATTGTGGTGACGTGTGTCATTGGACAACCATCTCACTGGATCTTCACCTTTCTTCTTCCTCTTCTTTTTCTTCTATATTTCGTGTCTAGATCGAAGGCAAGCTGGAGAAGGATCGCAAAGTTGCCCGTGACCTGCTCAAAGCTGGCAAAAAAGAGTAAGATGAGCGTTGTGCCTGAGATTCGTTGGTCATCATACGTCTAGCAGCCTTTTTGTTGCGTGCATTCGTGCATTCGTGCATTCACGTTGTTGTACGCGTTCGTGCCTTCGTTGTTATTTTGTGCGTTAATGGATCCATGTTGTTGTGCGCGGTCATCCATTCATGTTCTTGTGTACGTGCATACATTCATGTTCTTGTGTGTGGTCATGTGTTTATGCTGTTGTGTGCGGTCATGGGTCCATGTTGTTGTGTGTGTTTGTGCATCCATGCCTATAATAATTATCTGTGTGCGTGGGGGGGGGGGGGGGGCATTGTTCTCACATATCACGGGACCAAGTGATCATGTGTGAGCAGCCAAGAGGTGTAGGTCACATGACAGCCGTCGCCACCAATGGACCCATTGCGCATTGCCAAATATGGAATGTATGAGTAATGCATGCGAGTACGCTGGTATCAGCAATGTACGGGTCAACACCCCAGCTAGACGACCCTGCCCAGGTGGCCGTGTGGGTTGACTGATTATGGTACATATTACGTCATTGCGCAATGGGCTTCTGTTGTCTACTTTGTGAGATGCTGACTGGCTGGCTGGACAGGGTGCATGCCCTGTAGTCTGGCATCACGTGTGGTGGCAAGACGTCCGGTGTCGGTGCCCCGTACAGGTCCCACGCCATTACCATACGCCGCATCTCGCGCAGACAATGTCATGCACCGTATTTTCCGGCCTATAAGCCGCACTTAAAGCACTCGGGGTTGGAAGCTTGGATATATGCCCAGTGCACTGTGCATACTGTGTTGTCACTCGTGTATGAATTGCTGTGTGTCGTCCTTTGTCGTATGTGTGCTGCTTCGCTCACAGCAAGGCTCTGCTACTGCTGAAGAAGAAACGCTATATGGAGGGCCTGCTGACGAAGACCGACAACCAGATGAACAACCTTGAGGAGATGGTGAGTCAGAGCAAGACTTACCGTATTTTCCAGAGTATAGCGCCAGTGTCTGCTCCAGAGCCGGGTAATCGACCCGGTTGGGCGGCGCTTGGACCAGGTTGAAAATATAGTACCGGGTCACCTGTGACCCGGTTGGTACTTTACGATCGTACACGTTCGAACTTTGAAAGGATTGACTACATGGCTTGTATGTGTGACAGATCATGCAGAGGCGCACGTCGAAGTGAAAGTAGTCAGTATCCGGTGTGTGCACGTGGTCAGTTCGAGCTTGATCGTTGAGGTGTTGTTTTTGGAAATGGAGCCTCCAGCGAAGAGGCGAATCCACAGGCCCTGAAAAACAGGCCGTCCATGGCTTGTCTACGACATGGAGACGAAAAAGATGACCTGCTCCTGCCTTGGACAGCTTCGATTTTGGCAAGGCACTTGTCGTGTGGTCGTCGTCTCGTCAGCGAAGAGTGACAGCAGCTGCAGCTACAAGGGCGGAGGTCATTGCGCTGAGTTAAAGCATGTGACTCGGCTGGTGAGACAGCGCCAGGTACATGTGTACCCGGCTCCAACCCGGTTGAAATGGTTGCGCCAGGTACACGTGTACCCGGCTGTCCTACAATCCTAGAGCAGACACTGAACGCGTGCTTTGAACACTCAAATTTGACCCCCAAAAAGTGGTTTGCGGCTCATACTCTGATTATCAAATCAACGGAGATAAATAGGGTAGATGTCTGTATTTCGTGGCAACAATGGGGGGGGGGGGGGGGGGCTTATACTCCAGTGTGGCTTGTACTCCGGATACTACGGCACATCCCAGCATGATCTCAAGAGTGTGCAACTGCCTGTACTAGTTTATGCAGTGCTGCAAGGGTAAAGTTCCACATCACGTGATTTGGCTGAATAGATTATGCCGGTAAACAGTGCAAACTGGCCACCGGAGAATTGCACCCAAAGCAGGGGGTTGTGTTCAGCTCTGTAGTTATCGTGCATGGGGTACAGAGTGTGTATGCAGGTTTGCCACGTGATGTGAAGTTCTGCCGTCACAGATCCCATAGACTGGAGTTTCACACTCTTGGCGGTCATGTGCTCTTGATAACGCCTATAGTATTTGCTAATAGTGACAGAGTTCACCGAGCGGTCAACTCCTCCATGGACATGTGCCACCATTCTTTATACATGTAGTATCTTCTACATGAAGTCATGCAGTCGTGGTAGGAGATTGGCAACGGCTGCCAGGGGATCTATACCGTATTTCCCCGAATGTGAATCGTACCTTTTTATGCTAAACGTCAAGGGCAAAGAAGGGGGTACGACTTGCAATCGAGTGTGACTTCTTACTTATGTGAATGTATTGAAACAATTTGGCTTAGGCCTGAGAATGGGTTGCAACTTATGATCAAGTGTGACTTATAACCGGGGAAATACGGTATTTGCATTGCAGTGATAAGGTGGTCAGTGGGAGCCACACACTTCAATGAGCTCCCCTGAGCCTGGATCCTGGAGAAAACCAGACACGTGAACAATGTGTGTGTATGTGTGTCTGTCTGTCTATCTCTAATCGTCTTTTGTCATCCGTCTATCCATCCATCTGTCACCGTACTACAGGTCCAAACTCTTGAGTTTGCACAGATCGAAGTGCAAGTCGTGCAAGGACTGGAGCAAGGCAATGAATCACTAAAGGCTCTGCATGATGTAAGTCCGGTGTGAGGTCATTCATGCATGCTACAGTACTGTCGGGCGCCGAAGAACGGAGCACTGAAGAACGGCCAGCCTAGAGCTTGACCAAGCACAGCATACCAATGTGTTCACGGCAACTCAACTGTGCATAGACTGTGGTACATGAAATAAGAACGGTCTAGGCTAGGAGGCTTCCCCTCAGTTCTTTGGCGACCCACAGTACTGTAGCTCTGTGTGCCTGCCGGTGAGTTGCGTACCTTGTAAACAAATAAAATAAACAAAATCCTCGCGAACACTGTCAGTCCACTGCATACAGTTTGTACGCTTGCTGACGATTCTGATGGTTGTATTGTAATGGGTACATGGCTACTTGGACAACAGGAGCGTCGGGAGGGATTTTAGGTTGGTACAGTCAACCGTCTGCTATACTCGGCTGGGGATCTCCCCTGGAAATTTTCGAAACTCATTGCATGTTATCGATTCACGAGGTACCTGTGCACTGATGGTACGGGCGATGCTGTAGTGGCCATAGCATGTTCGACGTGTCTGTGCACCGTTCCGTGTTCAGAAACCCTCTGAAATGGTGTGTCAGCAGTAGTTTTTGATGTGTGGTAAACGAAACTTGCTCTGGCGGGTGACACAGCTATTGTGAGTATTCTGCAATAGATATGCTAAATAGCGTGCAACGAGACTTGGGAGGGCATTGCACACAAGTTGCATACAAATTACACTACAATGTGTACACGGTAGGCCCTGAGCTCTGCAGGAGCACAAGTCACAGGTAACCGTGCAACTTTGAACTATGTACTTGAAATATGCAACTACTCTGCATTGCCCTCCCAGGTCTAGTTGGAAGTTATTGGGCATTATTATCTATTTCTTTCACATGGTACTGGTCGTCCAGTCATGATCTCTTGGTCACCTCATTGTCTTCTCCTTCTGTGTATGCGTGTGTATGCGTGTGTGTGTGTGTGTACGTGTGTGTGTACGTGTGTGTCCAGGTCTTCTCGTTGGAGGATGTTGAGCGTATCATGGATGACACACGCGATGCTGTGGAGTATCAACAGGTAAATGCCGCCACATTGCTGGAGTTCTAGGAAGAAGGGGTGGGCGGACAGGCAAACAGATGGGGGAGAGGGGGAGGGGAGACAGAGACAGAGACGTGCACACACATACATGCATAGACTAACAGACATACAGACTTGATCCTGTTGTGGGTTCCGGCTATCTTCCATTGCATGAGACAGACACGCAAACGTATTTGTCGGCAGCTTGATTTCCACACACAAGACGTTGTTGTTATTGTTTTCTTTATTTGAATTCGCTAAAACCAAACGAACAGAACTGTCCAGTGCCAAGGGAGCGAATGATGAGCGTCATAATCACTATGCATCAAAAAATTTCAAAACATCTTGGGGCTAAATGAGACAGACTAGAAGGAGGGTTTGCACAACACTAGTACATAGAGAAGAGCACAAGAAAAAATGCGCGGCAGAAGTCTAAGCAAGAAAGGAATCAACGCCAGAAATGTTTTTGTGCGCGAAAAAGCAGAGAGAGGGAGAGAGAGAGAGAGAGAGAGAGAGAGAGAGAGAGAGAGAGAGAGAGAGAGAGAGAGAGAGAGAGAGAGAGAGAGAGAGAGAGAGGGAGGGAGGGAGGGAGGGAGGGAGGGAGGGAGGGAGGGAGGGAGGGAGGGAGGGAGGGAGGGAGAGAGAGAGCGGGAGGGAGGGAGAGAGGGAGGGAGGGAGGGAGGGAGGGAGAGAGAGAGAGAGAGAAAGAGAGAGTTACACTTATAAAGTCTAACAAATGAGGGCTGAGAGACCTCTACAACAGGGTTTTACGCCGGAAAACACGCTCACGAAGTAAGAAGCAGGTTGTCAGAGAAACAGGGAGAGAGACCGGTAGGCAGGCCATCAGACAAGCACATAATGAAAATATGGCGATAGTGATCCGCCTGACCTCATGCTGTGTGGAACAGAAGCAGTGCGGAATTGGGCCGGGTGCGGTATGGCCCGTACCTCGCTGGGCAACGCATTCCAGAGCCTAGCTCCTTGGAACATGAAACAACCCTTTCCCAGCTCAGTGCGGGTTGGCGGTGGTCTTAGACCCATAGATGATTGGAGCCGAGTAGGAGCGCTACTGGTTGGTAGCAACAGCACTTGCAGTGTAGGGCTAGCACGGGAGTAGCGGCAGCGCCAAACCAGGAAGATGAGCTTCTGGATGAAGATCTCCCGGACACGGTAGGTGGCGAGTTGGACTAGCAGGTTCCTGGCAGAGGTGCGTGGCGAGCATCCGTACACAGCTCGAGCCGCATGATTCTGCAGAACTTGGAGATAGTCCAGGTGCTTACCCGCCAACAATGCTGAGAAGGCATTGGAGCCATACGAGACATCGGGCATGATTACAGACTTGAAGTATTGGATGCGGCTTTGCATGCTGCGACAGCGGCGCATCCGTCACAGAACACCAACTTTCTTGTTGAGTCGGGCAACGCACCCATCCACCTGGGTGTTCCAAGACATGGCGGTGGCAATGTGCACTCCGAGGTAGCGAGCAGTAGAGACAGACGGCAGCTTTGTCGCACGACACCGTATATCCAGTTCAGTTTGCGCTTCTAGCTGCCCAGCTGGGCATAACATCAGTACTATGGTACGCATCTGACTGTACCTGCACCTGTCCAGCTGCAGCTTGCTTGGCGCTACGTTTGCTGGCACGAGTACTACTACTTTGCGTATGTACGTCTGCTTGAACTGCAGGTGCAGGTGAGCTGCTGCTCGTCGTCTTTGACTTCATCGAGGCAACGGCGGAATTTTTCAGAGCAAGTAACTCCTCTTCCAACTCTTTCACTTCCGCTGCCAGCTCGCCAATTTTGCATTTCATACGCGCTCTCGCGGTCAGCAGACTCGGTCGCTAGGGTTACCAGCATTTGCACCACTGCAAGGAGACCCTGCTCAATCCCCGGGCGGGTGCAAAGCAGCTTCGTCACGGCCTCAGCAGAGAACTCGCCCATGGCGAAGGGTTCCTGCCAGGCCCTACCTCGTCGTCTTTGACTTCATCAAGGCAACGGCGGAGGTTTTCAGGGCAACTAACTCCTCTTTCAAATCCTTCACTTCCGCTGCCAGCTCGCCAATTTTGCGTTTTATACGCACTTCGCGGTCAGCAGACTTGTTCGCTAGGGTTGCCAGCATTTGCACCACTGCAAGGAGACCCTGCTCAATCCCCGGGCGGGTGCAAGCAGCTTCGTCACGGCCTCAGCAGAGAACTCGCCCATGGCGAAGGGTTCCTACCTGGCCCTACCTCGTCGTGACTTCATCAAGGCAACGGCGGAGGTTTTCAGGGCAACTAACTCCTCTTTCAAGTCCTTCACTTCCGCTGCCAGCTCGCCAATTTTGCGTTTTATACGCACTTCGCGGTCAGCAGACTCGGTCGCTAGGGTTGCCAGCGTTTGCACCACTGCAAGGAGACCCTGCTCAATCCACGGGTGGGTGGAAAGCAGCTTCGTCACGGCCTCAGCAGAGAGCTCGCCCATGGCGAAGGATCCCTGCCTGGCCCTACCTAACTGTCTAGACTATCCTACACTATTTCAGTTTTCTACTACTACCGTAAAGTCCGCTGCAAACGCCCACCCCAGCGGGTCCATACTATTTTCGTCTTTTTCAGGTCAATATAGTTGTAGAAAGCTTGCATGAAGGTCGAATGCGTACGAGAACGACTGTAATGCCTACAAACTGCCTATTGTCTTACCAGGAGGCTCTGCAAAAGCGATTGTCATTATCTTGCTGCAAAGAAAACTTCGGTCGAGATTTCCCTTCATTCGATAAATGAAGTCGTCTTTGTTATTAGTTCGTTCTCCATGTGGTAATGCCGTAGAATCCATCTGGTTTTCAAATCATGAAATTTCTGGAGTGCCACGATGTCGCGCTTTTAGATCGGAACGGTGATTGTTCTGACGAAGCGTCATTCAACGACTTGACCGTTCACAGTATTGCAGTTGTAAGTCGAACACTTTTCAGGGGGGATGTCACAGAAGCTACACCTACAAAGTCGCTGCTAACTTGTTGAGAATTCTGAAGTGGTCGAGAAAAACCTTTGCCTTTGTGCGTTGCGTGATTTGGAAATGATGATGGCTTGAAACACCGTCAGAAGTATTTTGGTTCCTGCAACACTCTGTTCTTCGCTACTTTGTTATTCGGAAGAAACTCTCATTTGAATTTGCGAAAGGAAACAATGAACATCATAGAATCGCTAATAGCTAGCTCGTAGCTAGTGCCCAAAGAGATTTTGAAACCAGGAAAATGGACATAGTTTACCGTAGTAAAGCGCTCTTCGCGCTACGATGTGAGGTGCACTTTCGTACGGAAGTGGTGACAGTGCATGGGGTCAGTGTGTACAGGCCAGCAGATCTTGCAAAAATGGGGTGGGCGTTTGCAGCGGACTTTACGGTACTACCTACCTAGCTATCTCCAGTCCGGCCTGATGCCGGCTGGGATGTCCAAAACAACGAAAAGCTACGAGCTTGAAAAACGTGTGCCACACTCGTAGCTGCAAAAAAAACTTCCTAGCATAGCTCCAGCTACTTGTAGAAGATTCAAACTGTGTAACTGAAGTAACCAGACCACACAGCAGTAACAAGGCCCGTGACGGATGATGATGTGTTTAAGGTTTCGCCAAGTCAATGCCTTCCTCGGAAAATATGCTGAAGGACAGAGGGAACTCAGTTGCCGTATATTTCGGAGCATAAGCCGCGCCCAGATTTTTTGTCCCGAAATACGGACATCTTCCCCATTTATCACCGTTAATTTAATCATCGTAGTAAAAGCTGCACCGACTTTTTTTGGTGAATTACTGGTGTTGATATTGCGGCTTCTACTCTGGAAAATACGGTAAATTATTATGGGGGGGGGGGGGGAGAGAGAGAGAGAGAAGTGCGCCAATAACGATGTGATTAAATACAACTAGGAGAGAGACAAACAGTCTAACAGACATTGACTCCAGGTCGCTTGTCCACTGCCCTCTGCTTACCCATGCCTTGGTGCCTTGGTTTTGTCACTTTGTGCAGGAAATCGATTCACTTCTCGGATCCAGCCTGACGAACGAGGACGAGGAATCTGTGCTGCGTGAGCTTGAGGAGCTGACAGCTGCACAGACTGCGGCTGAGCCAGCCGACGATATGAGGCTGCCCGATGCACCGGCAACAGAGCCACAGGATCTTGAAGCGCCGGCCATGCCTGACGTGCCCAGCGCAGGTAGGTTGATGGAAACACAACTGCCGCTGCTGCTGCTGTTGCCGCCACCGCTACTGCTGCTGCTGTTGCCGCCACCGCTACTACTGCTGCTGTTGCTGCTGCTACTGTTGCTGCTGCTGCTGCTGGTGTTGTTGAATTCTTTATTCTCACGATGGCACCATCGCCAATAAGAGTTGTTGTTGTTGTTGTTGTTGTTGCTGCTGCTGCTGCTGCTGCTGTTGTTGTTGTTGTTGTTGTTGTTGTTGCTGCTGCTGCTGCTACTGCTGCTGTTGCCACTGCTGCCGCTGTATGCATACATTTCTCGAGATTACATTACGTACAAGAAAGTCGTACGCTACATGTGCAATGTTAGGGAACAAACAATTGCCCGGTGTTGTTGTATCGAGTCCAATTCGAGCGTGTCACATGCACTCCCAAACCGAGTCTGGATACTACCGTAAAGTACCGTTGATCCGCCCCCTCTCTAATTCCCGCCCCCTGTCGATTTTCTACCTGTGAAGCGACTTCGGCGTATACAACGAAAATACGATGTTGAACCGACGCCTGCACTGCTGTACACACTATTTGCCAATCCAGGATGAAAATGTGCACAATCCAGTACATCGAGTCGGAACTTCTACGTTGTTGTACATCGTACTGCACTTGACAGCCTTGATCTAATTCCCGCCCCCTGCCGAAAACCCAGCTGGGAAGCGACATGGCGGGGGGGGGGGGGGGGGGGGGGGAGGGCGGATCAACGGTACTTTACGGTAGTAGTTGACTCTTTGGATAATCGACGTTCGCTTTATCTTTGTTCAACTGTAATGCCTGGCCCTGTGGAGAGTATAATTGGACATCTTTTGAGCGATAGTCTAGTCCATTCCTGTTGTACGACATTGCGGTTGGTTCAGACATACCTAACCAGTCCTCTCTCTCTCTCTCTCTCTCTCTCTCTCTCTCTCTCTCTCTCTCTCTCTCTCTCTCTCTCTCTCTCTCTCTCTCTCTCTCTCTCTCTCTCTCTCTCTCTCTCTCTCTCTCTCTCTCTTTCTCTCTCTCTCTCTCTCTCTCTCTCTCTCTCTCTCTCTCTCTCTCTCTCTCTCTCTCTTCTGTGTGCTTGCTTGCGTTTCTCAGAACCGGGCGAGGCGAAAGCCACCGAGGAAAGGACCATGCTGGCAGCCTAAGCTATCCGGACAGGCAATACTATGGCTGGTGAGGCTGTGCTACCAGGTCTTCTCAGATAGTGTGGGACGTAACCTCGCGAGCGCACACGTGATCTTGATGTGTATATACACGGGTACAAGTACTACATGAAAACAGATTTATTCCCGAGCTGGCGTGACGCGAGTGCCCACGCGCAGCGTTGTGTGTGCAGTGTTGTTGGCTTGGTGTCTTGATTCGCTACCACCTGGCTTATCCCTTGTTGATACATGCACATGTGTATACGCATAGCCTGCTGCCACTGGATACGAGTACATGTATGTGTACAGTGGGTCCCAGATCTTGCCAATCTGCGGCATCGGAGCACCGCTCGGTGACAGTGCTCATTCTGACCTGAGCCTTTACTGCTGCTACTTCTGCTGTTGTTGCTACCCACATAGCCTGAACACTCTCAGGCAATGACTACGGCATGCGTACACATCTTAGGCTAGTTTTTTTTATTGACGTCCAATGTCCGACTTGTCATGGAGCTGTGTCATACCCAGCCGTGCCCTCTCTCGTACGTACTGTATGCCGACAAGGCACGCGCACCGTATGTGCATCGTACTCCTTGTGTTGTATGCCAGATGCTAGCTATTGCTGTAGGCTGCGCCAGCTCCCACACCTCTGCGTGTGCGGTGAGCCGTGATGTAGTGACCTTTGTTTGGCACCAAGGCACTCCGTTATTCCCACTGGCACTAACAAGGCTTGTCACAGATCTGTTTCATGCCCAGTCGTGCCGGCAAGCTTGCACACCGACCGACGTCTCCTCGCTTTGCCCGCTCCCCGGCTAGTTGTTGGCTGATAACTCTTGCTTGCGCGCACCACCATCCCTTGCCACTGCTGAACAGGCAGGTACCCATAGCACAGCTAGTCTTCATTCCTTGCCTACGTTGCCACTGCTCTGAGAGTTCATAGCTACCACTGCTGCTACTGCTACTATTGCTTTTGCTGGTGCTATTGTTCAACCTTTCTTTTTTTTTAAATATTTAATTACTCTTTTCTTTTCTTTTTAGAACAGAATGCCTTCTTCTTTGGTACTTGAAACTTGCTCTGCGTATGCCTGTCAATATATTTCCTTATTTTTTATTCGTCTAATGTTAGTCCAGGGTTTTATTATCCTTAGAAGACAAAATTTGTCCGGAGCCTCAGTCTGCAGCATTGCCTTCGTTTTTATACAAAATTAATTGTGATATCAAATCATGAATTTTTGACAGCGTATTTTCTTCTAGCATACATGTACACGTGCCGGTAGTCTGCCAAACCTGAACAGCAGTCTTGTTGTGTGTTCTCGACAATCGCTCTCTCTCATTGTACATTGTACATAGAACACGCTCTGACTGGCGCCTGTCCGCCGTCATCTCCCCACTGCCTGGCTAAATGGACCACTAGTGGAGTAGCTAGGATTCTGCTGCTGTTGCCTTTGGAGGGTGTGGGGGTGGAAGTCGCCATGCCATGGCTATGCTTGAAAATACCCTGGCCTTGCACCTTCCATTACCGAGGGGGGGGGGGGGGATTTACTAGTGCCGGTAGTCTGCTGGTACATGGTGTCGTCTTGGGGGGGGGGGGGGGGGGGACTCTGACAATACAATTACATGTAGATCTACATGCATCATCAGTATGACTTCCTGTAAATTATGTGGTGTGCAGCATGCAACACTGTAACGAGCTGTATCTAGCCATGACCGACAATTTTTTACGGATTTTTGTCATGCGCAACCCGTCCTACATTTGTAATGATCATATGTATATATGATCCAGTGTAGCCTAGTACCTGTGCAAGACAGCGGCTCAAGGGACATTCAAAATGTGGTCCCCGTGTTCAGGTAGTATTTACCCAAGGCAATTATTTGGCTGGAAATAACAACCTTTGGTCCTGGCTGCAATGGGACAGGTGGTCACCTTATGAGGAGTAGTAGTAGTAGTAGTTTTTTTTTTACTAGGGGACTCCCCTAGGTTGTTATTTCCAGCCAAATAATTGGAGTGGTCCCTGGACAGGTTTTGCTCAGGAAATTGTGGATGGTGCCTTTAGATTTGTGATGGTGAAGTACCACACACGGGGGAAGCCCAAGTACTTCATTGTATGCACAGAAACCTTTCATATTTTTTTGTGTATGACATGGGCCATGGCGTGTATGTGTATACAGTGCCCTCAATTCAACCATAGGAAACATGACTGTGTCGATGGCCAAAACGTTGGTGCGGTACAACCCGCCGCACCGGTTCCAGTGGGCCTACATGTACATGTAGTACCATGTGTCCTTAGCACTATTACAGTATTAGCAATATGGCGGTAAACACACGCCTGCCCACACACGCTCTCTAGGCTGCAAAGCTTCATTCTCCCGAGTCAAGCTCCGTATGAAGACATCCAAGAAGAAGATTGCCTGATGAGTCCAGCGGGGACGAAACGTACGTCGCAATCGAGCTATGTCGTTGCTGTGTCATCATCTATGTGCCATGCGCTACTTGATGTACCAGCCTGCTATGCCGGATACCGCCAGCGATGCATCGACCAGGCGCCAGGCGCGAACTGATTAGATGGTGGTGAGAAGGAGAGCTCTGTGCCAGAACTTAGCAGCCTAGAGAGCGTGTGTGGGCAGGCGTGTGTTTACCGCCATATTGCCAGGTGTGTCTTTACCACCATATTTATCAACCATAAGTACAGCTGCAGTGGTGTCTTCCACTTCCTTCTCTAGAATACAATCATGTTGTTTATATCAAAAGTATTCTTTCTAGACCAAAGATTTTTGATAAAATTTAATAACGATAGAAATATTTACGATACTTCTCCAGACGTTTCGTTGTTCTGAACAACATCGTCAGTGGATAAAGATGTTGTTTATGATGCATTGTATCAGACGGACCGTGCTGCACCATAATCATTGCCGTACATAGAGCACTCTCGCAGCCTCGTAGGCCAAATGTTACACGTGGTAGCAACAGTAGATCTACTCTTGGTGGTAGTAATGAATGTCAGGTCGTCAGTACCAGGCCACGGTGGTCACTGCTAGTCGCCATTTTGTGCTAATACAGTATCGACATGTACATGTAGCTGAATGTCGCACACGTGATCTTGATGTGTATATACACGGGTACAAGTACTACATGAAAACAGATTTATTCCCGAGCTGGCGTGACGCGAGTGCCCACGCGCAGCGTTGTGTGTGCAGTGTTGTTGGCTTGGTGTCTTGATTCGCTACCACCTGGCTTATCCCTTGTTGATACATGCACATGTGTATACGCATAGCCTGCTGCCACTGGATACGAGTACATGTATGTGTACAGTGGGTCCCAGATCTTGCCAATCTGCGGCATCGGAGCACCGCTCGGTGACAGTGCTCATTCTGACCTGAGCCTTTACTGCTGCTACTTCTGCTGTTGTTGCTACCCACATAGCCTGAACACTCTCAGGCAATGACTACGGCATGCGTACACATCTTAGGCTAGTTTTTTTTATTGACGTCCAATGTCCGACTTGTCATGGAGCTGTGTCATACCCAGCCGTGCCCTCTCTCGTACGTACTGTATGCCGACAAGGCACGCGCACCGTATGTGCATCGTACTCCTTGTGTTGTATGCCAGATGCTAGCTATTGCTGTAGGCTGCGCCAGCTCCCACACCTCTGCGTGTGCGGTGAGCCGTGATGTAGTGACCTTTGTTTGGCACCAAGGCACTCCGTTATTCCCACTGGCACTAACAAGGCTTGTCACAGATCTGTTTCATGCCCAGTCGTGCCGGCAAGCTTGCACACCGACCGACGTCTCCTCGCTTTGCCCGCTCCCCGGCTAGTTGTTGGCTGATAACTCTTGCTTGCGCGCACCACCATCCCTTGCCACTGCTGAACAGGCAGGTACCCATAGCACAGCTAGTCTTCATTCCTTGCCTACGTTGCCACTGCTCTGAGAGTTCATAGCTACCACTGCTGCTACTGCTACTATTGCTTTTGCTGGTGCTATTGTTCAACCTTTCTTTTTTTTTAAATATTTAATTACTCTTTTCTTTTCTTTTTAGAACAGAATGCCTTCTTCTTTGGTACTTGAAACTTGCTCTGCGTATGCCTGTCAATATATTTCCTTATTTTTTATTCGTCTAATGTTAGTCCAGGGTTTTATTATCCTTAGAAGACAAAATTTGTCCGGAGCCTCAGTCTGCAGCATTGCCTTCGTTTTTATACAAAATTAATTGTGATATCAAATCATGAATTTTTGACAGCGTATTTTCTTCTAGCATACATGTACACGTGCCGGTAGTCTGCCAAACCTGAACAGCAGTCTTGTTGTGTGTTCTCGACAATCGCTCTCTCTCATTGTACATTGTACATAGAACACGCTCTGACTGGCGCCTGTCCGCCGTCATCTCCCCACTGCCTGGCTAAATGGACCACTAGTGGAGTAGCTAGGATTCTGCTGCTGTTGCCTTTGGAGGGTGTGGGGGTGGAAGTCGCCATGCCATGGCTATGCTTGAAAATACCCTGGCCTTGCACCTTCCATTACCGAGGGGGGGGGGGGGGGATTTACTAGTGCCGGTAGTCTGCTGGTACATGGTGTCGTCTTGGGGGGGGGGGGGGGGGGGGGGACTCTGACAATACAATTACATGTAGATCTACATGCATCATCAGTATGACTTCCTGTAAATTATGTGGTGTGCAGCATGCAACACTGTAACGAGCTGTATCTAGCCATGACCGACAATTTTTTACGGATTTTTGTCATGCGCAACCCGTCCTACATTTGTAATGATCATATGTATATATGATCCAGTGTAGCCTAGTACCTGTGCAAGACAGCGGCTCAAGGGACATTCAAAATGTGGTCCCCGTGTTCAGGTAGTATTTACCCAAGGCAATTATTTGGCTGGAAATAACAACCTTTGGTCCTGGCTGCAATGGGACAGGTGGTCACCTTATGAGGAGTAGTAGTAGTAGTAGTTTTTTTTTTACTAGGGGACTCCCCTAGGTTGTTATTTCCAGCCAAATAATTGGAGTGGTCCCTGGACAGGTTTTGCTCAGGAAATTGTGGATGGTGCCTTTAGATTTGTGATGGTGAAGTACCACACACGGGGGAAGCCCAAGTACTTCATTGTATGCACAGAAACCTTTCATATTTTTTTGTGTATGACATGGGCCATGGCGTGTATGTGTATACAGTGCCCTCAATTCAACCATAGGAAACATGACTGTGTCGATGGCCAAAACGTTGGTGCGGTACAACCCGCCGCACCGGTTCCAGTGGGCCTACATGTACATGTAGTACCATGTGTCCTTAGCACTATTACAGTATTAGCAATATGGCGGTAAACACACGCCTGCCCACACACGCTCTCTAGGCTGCAAAGCTTCATTCTCCCGAGTCAAGCTCCGTATGAAGACATCCAAGAAGAAGATTGCCTGATGAGTCCAGCGGGGACGAAACGTACGTCGCAATCGAGCTATGTCGTTGCTGTGTCATCATCTATGTGCCATGCGCTACTTGATGTACCAGCCTGCTATGCCGGATACCGCCAGCGATGCATCGACCAGGCGCCAGGCGCGAACTGATTAGATGGTGGTGAGAAGGAGAGCTCTGTGCCAGAACTTAGCAGCCTAGAGAGCGTGTGTGGGCAGGCGTGTGTTTACCGCCATATTGCCAGGTGTGTCTTTACCACCATATTTATCAACCATAAGTACAGCTGCAGTGGTGTCTTCCACTTCCTTCTCTAGAATACAATCATGTTGTTTATATCAAAAGTATTCTTTCTAGACCAAAGATTTTTGATAAAATTTAATAACGATAGAAATATTTACGATACTTCTCCAGACGTTTCGTTGTTCTGAACAACATCGTCAGTGGATAAAGATGTTGTTTATGATGCATTGTATCAGACGGACCGTGCTGCACCATAATCATTGCCGTACATAGAGCACTCTCGCAGCCTCGTAGGCCAAATGTTACACGTGGTAGCAACAGTAGATCTACTCTTGGTGGTAGTAATGAATGTCAGGTCGTCAGTACCAGGCCACGGTGGTCACTGCTAGTCGCCATTTTGTGCTAATACAGTATCGACATGTACATGTAGCTGAATGTCGTATTGTAAGGATGGAAGCATACCAGTGATACCACACATTCTGATCTCCTTACAACTAACTACTTACTCAGGTTGAAGTCAAGTACTGTACTGTACTGTACGTACATGTATCTACATTTATACTGAGCTTGTATACAAACTCCCATCTCTCCCCACACAACACTCCAGACTTGTATTTTGCATATAACAGGTACTTCGATGACGAGAATATAAACTGGTATATAAACTGGTATATAAACTGGTATATAAACTGGTGTATAAACTGGTATATAAACTCCTTTTTTTTTAGGATTACACTAG